CCTCTGCGTCCCGTCACCCCCCGCGCTCCGTGTCCCAGCTTGTGCTAACCCTTCTTGTCTCCTGATTGCATTGATCCTCTGAGGGCGCGCGTCTGCTTGGGCAGGGCAGCTCCTGCATTAAGAGATCAGAGCTGGCTTTCTCCCAGCCTACGTGAATGGATTTGGTGTCAAGGGCAAGGAAAGGCAGCCACTGCTGCCTGCTGGTGAAAGTGTTACTGGCCCCAGGTGAGGCTCCTGCCTTTTGCTCGGTGTCCCCAGAAACCCACAACATGCTCCCTCAGGCCCAAAGCATGGTGGCCTGCCAGAGAGCTGTCCTTGCCCCTGACGCATCAGTGCAGTTTCCTTCATTCCTATCGCTAGTGATTCTCTTCAGAACATATGTAGGACTCAAACCTTAACTTCCCATTTCAGGCAAGTTTATGAGTAAGCTTAAATTAGAATGTCATCTGATAAAGCAGTTCCCGCATCCACTATCTTATGACAACTGAGCACTGACAGTTACAGTGGAGTCAAGAGAGCACATACAGTAAAGCATCTCTTTAATGAGTAAGGGATAATGTGTAGCTTCAGAGGGCAAAAGAGAAATAATACTAGCTTTCAGGAATTCAGACTCCCATTTCAAACTTAATTTAATTCTTATGGAGAGCCTGCCCCTTTAGGAGCAGCCAAAGTTTAATCAGTAACACAACAGCGATTTAGCTCAATTCTCAGTATCTTAGTCATACAGAGAAGCTGCTGCAACTGATTAGAAACCCTATTTCATTGAAATGTTGCATGGAAGCATGAACATTCCAGTGTGGAAATACAAGTCACTTCATCACTCTAGCTCGCATGTTAACGCATCACCAACTCTCACATTCAAAGCCTTTTTAGAGAAATGCAATAGTTAGGGGACTAACAACCACCCACAACCCTTAATTCCCAGTGATTATTCTAAACACAAATTAACAGATCTGGGCCATTACTACTCAGAGCTGAATCATCCATAGGGGTGGGAGAGAGGCAGTACTCCCAGGGAAATGGCTCAGGATTAACTGCTTTTGTAGGTTTCCGAACACTTTGTCAGTAACATCCCCTGTGTAATAAATTCCTTTTCTAGTTTCTTTCACAGTTTACAGGCAGCTCACTTAGAAGTTTGGAATGTACACTCAAATGACTTTCCAAGTTACAAGAATTATTATTCACTTCAGGTAATTTTATTCTTTATATTCTCTACATATTTGATTTTTTACTCAGTAAAGTCATAACAGAATGTATAAGTATTTAAAGAAAAAAGATCAAAACCACAACACAAATCAAAGCAAGCAAGCAGTTGGTCCCCAAAGAATAAAGCAAGCAATCAGTTCAATAAACACACTTGGATTTATTTTGTATAAAAAGGGTTAAGTTTACAACTAAACTTTTATAAAAAGTTTAGCATGATTAAGTACATCATTACACTTTTTGCAGAAATGTGTATTTCTGCCACTATACAAGAAAACTCTAATTAAAGAGTTCACAAGGTTTCACTCATATATATATATTTATATATAAATATATACACAGCATTCAGTCCTAGGTTTGTGTCAAAAAGGCAATTTCTGACCACGGACTTCCCTAAAAAACTGAACACTGGATCCTTCTGGTACTCACGCTCCACCTTTGGAAAAAAAGGCAAAGTCTGCTTTAAAATGGGCAACTCGTGAGATTTTTGTTTCGCTCCCCACGTTGGGAATAGTATATAAAGGAAGCCTTCCAACTAGGGAAAGGGTATTTAAGAGTCTCTTCATAAATAACTAGGTTCAGTCCAAGTTGAAGAATGGGGTGGGGATAAAGATCAATCTTGATTATTTTTTTCTTCTTCTTCATTAACTTTAAAAGGTCCTTTTTGTTGAACGTGGATTTTCCCCTCCAGATACAGCTGAAAAATTCAGCACCTCAAAAAAAAAAAAAAATCCTGTAGACATTTTCTTGTGCAAAAAAAAAAAAAATTCTCATCAGTGGAACACCTGCAAGAGATTGAAAAGAGGCATATTTAGGAGCATGCTAACAGGGCAGAGATCCGGACAGACTGGCGCCAGAGAGGAAGCCACAGTTTGAACATTTAACCAAACACTCAGAGATTGGGCAAACGCTGGCGTCCAGATGCAACACATACACGCTCACACACTCACTCTCAAGAGCTCAAGCCGAACATTAAAATAACATACACTCGAGGGGAAAAGGGTAGAAAGAGGATTCTCAGCCCAATCTTTATTTAGATCTCTAACTGCAATGCTCGGAGGCGCCAGTCTGCCTCTTACAGCAATTATTTGATTAAAAGCAGTCACTCATTTAACTGATAGCGCAGACAATCCCACATCACAGAATTTTGAGGGTATGTGCCAAGATTCCCAACTTAATCAGTCACTTTGGCCCAGGAAACCAAGACTCCCGAGAAAAGATAACGAGAGTATTTGCATTAAGCAGTGAGCAGTACCCGAGGAACCTGCGCTGCCTCAACCTTGGCAACGAAATACACTTCGGAATACGAGGCTCAGTTATTCGGCTTATTTTTTACCAATTATAACGGCATCTCCTAATCAACTTTTAGAACTGATTTTTGGAAGTAACCATCACGCCCCCCGCTCCCCAGGGAGGCACTTTTTGCCTGAAGTTTAGAAACGAGATGCGCTGCACTCACCGTTTGATTCAGCCACAAAGTGCTTTGCTGTCGCTCGACATGAGCTCTGAGGGGAACTCAGACGCCTACGAGAAGAAACCGGCAGAGGGGTAAGTCACGGGGGCCGAGATGCCCGCGCACACGGGGAAGAGGGAGAACAGGGTCCCGGAGCACGAAGGGGTTTCACTCGCGGCAAGCCAGGCTGGGGACCCAGGGCAGGGCACAGGGGACCGCCATGTCACTGCGCTGGCCCGCAGCGACCCGCACCTGGTGCCGCAAGCGCCACCAGCTCTAACCTCGGCCAGCGGGAGCCGGGGGCTTGGTGGAGAGCACTTACCTGGAGCGAGAGAATGCTGATATCTGTGTTTAGGGTGGTCAGAGGAGTTCTGGAGGAAGGATTTTGCCCAGGTCTCTGGTGGTGCAGGCTGACGATGCTGGGGTGCGAGTCCAGGGCGATCTGCAGGTCCAGGATGTAGTCGATAACGTGCTGCAGGATTTCCATCTTGCTCACTTTCTTGTTCTGCGGGATGCTGGGCACCAGCTCCTTCAGCTTGGAGTAGCAGTCATTCATGTTGTACAGCAGGCTCATGGGGTCATCCACGGGAGTCTTGCTCCGTGAGATGCCCAGGTTGTGCTCCGAGAGGCCGTTTTTCCTGACGGACCGCACCGGGCTGAAGGCTTTCATGCTGGAAGGCGGGCGGGGAGAGAGCAGAGCAGTTCGGTTCCGGCGGGCGGAGAAAACGGCTCCGGTAGGCAGCTGACGGAGAGGGTCGATCGGACAGACAGCCCTGCGAGCAGCCTGAGAGGTGCTGTCACTGCCGCCTGCCCCTGCGCGCTGCCGGAGCTCGCTCTGAAGCGCGGGACTGCGCGGCCTCCTCTTATATGGCCGCCGCCGCCGAGCCCAGCCCGCGCTCGCTGCCATTGGCGGCCGGCGGCACGTCCATCACCCCGGGGCGCCCTCACTGGTGGGGCGGGCAGCGCGGGGGCTGCGCGGGCCTTCCGCCCGGGGAGCCAATCCCGGCAGGGGGCGTGGCCGGCTCGCACAGCTGAGGGAGTAAATAGTGAGCGGTTCGCTGGCGCGCGGCCCGGTGCGGAGCTCCGGGTTCCCGCGTGTGTTGGTGCTCTCTCCGAGTTCTAAGGGCACAGCGGGCTGGCCTGGGGTGAGGGTGGGGGACACCGGGTACCGCCGGAGCAAGGGGCTGGCGGAGCCCACTGCTGGTTACACTGTGGAGTGGGGTTTGTGCGTACTTGTCACAAATACGGCAGCGTGAGCGAGCGGCTGCAGGTGCGAGCATCGCGAGAGAGCTATACTGTTCCGAGTGCAGCCCTGGCAGCGGAGAGCGCGGGCACCGGGAGCTCCGGCAGAGCCACACCGCTGCTGGCCCCCGCCGCGGGAGGGTGGGCGCAGTTAATTGATGCTCATTAAATACATGTGCCTTTACAGGCATCGCCCTTGCGAGGCGACTCGTCCGCACCCCGTAGGTGCGGTGACACGGCGCTGTCACTAGAGATGCGACGGTTGTTTCTGGTGACAAATGCAAATACTCGCTTACTACGCGCTGTACTTTTTGCGGCTGTTGGTTGCAGCCAATGAAACATCTTCCAGAAACATTCCAGAGGAAAAAGTCGGGGAGGGGAGAGGAGGGAGATGTGTGTGTGTGTGCTTAGCTGGAGAAAAAACTTCGATTTTTTTTTTTTTTGGAGTTTAGACCCATTGTATTTATCTATATTCACTTACACTAATGGCTGTGTAAAGTAACGACATACCTTTGGTTCCTCTTCTCACACGCTGTCCACACAGTGTGGACATACATACACGATTAATACAAATTCTACGCAAAACGCAGCCGTTCTGTAGTAGCTACCCGGATGTTTAAGGGGCATTGGTTTTCACTATAAGCAGGCATGTAGTGACAGCACACATCCACGCTGGCCGTCAGGAGAGTGTTGTCAACCATCATCGCTCACGGGAGACAGGCGCGGGGCTGATGCGCGCTGTGCTGGGGAAGCGGGAGGACACTCGCTCCCGGTACTTAGGGACAAAGCTGCGGGCAGCTAGGTCGGTGGCTTTGCCCATTTCCGCTGCGTTCCTGGGCTGCCTGATCGCCCGCGGGACACCGCGGCCACTGTCACACCGGGGTGCTCGCCCCGGGGTCGTGCGGCGAGCGTCGGAATTCCCGCGTCCTGGAGCGCCGGGGCTAAGTCCCGACATCCAGCCTGCGGGAGGGCAAATACAATGCCCAGGTGCGCTTAAAGAGGGTAAATAATAATGATAAAACCCATCCCGCCAATTAACGACTCGGTTAAAGTCGCCACTTGGAGCGACTTCAGTCCTTTCCACCACTGAAATCTCTCTGTCATATCTGATACTTGCTCTGCGGCCACGGATTTTAGCCCTTTGCCGTGTTTGTGTTTCCGTATGCTGAATGCACCGCCGGACGAAATTCTGACGTTTATTTTTGGTGTAATAATAGCCAACATAAACAGGTATGTCACTGCTTCTGCGGTTACTGCCTGTAGCTCGGACAACGCGGCCGGCTCCGCACAGGAGCGCGTCGCAAATCCGGTTTTCCGTATTACAGGCTTCGCACGCTGATGAAGCCACCGCGAAGTTACGCGAGGGGAGGCAAACCCGGGGGCACGCCGGTATGCGGGGGCTTCTCTCGAAACCCCTCACCCCGGTGCGGTGCGGGCAGCTCGGGCAGCTTCGGCCGTGACCAGAGCGAACCCTCTCCCTCACGTGAAGAGTCTGGCAGCGGCGGCAGCCCCGCTGCGGTGGGGGCTCCCCGAAACCAGCGGCAGTGCTCCCGGGGGCTCTTCCCCAGCGGCAGCCCCCCGTGTGGCAGCGGCTACCCCGGCGAGCCGCGTCCTCCTGGGCGCCCGGCCGGGAATTTTACAGCCGGTTCCCACCCCGCACCGCTGCTGCGAACATCTGGCCAGAAGACTCGCCGCTCGCCGTGCACAAAGCGCCGCTTTTTTTCTCCGCTCCCCCCTTAATCCCTCTTGAAAGCACAAACACACGGGGCTCCCCTCCCGGGGTTGGGGGGATGCGGACAAGCCCCGCCGTGGGGGGCCCCCGGCGCCAGCCCGCGGCGGCAATGGGGTGCGTGGCCACCCCTGGGGCGCCCCCCCCCCCCCCCGTTGCTCCCCCCCGCGTCCCGGGCGACGCGCCCCGCCCCACCGCCCCGCGCCCGGGGCCGGCCCGGACTGCGCGGCGCCAGCCCCGTGACATCAGCCCTGCCGTCGCCCCCCCCGCCCGCGCCGCCCGGGCCCGGCGGCGCCGCTCAGGCGGCTGCCATGGCGACCGGGGCTGCGCCCGCGGCGGCGGCAGGCGGCGGCCCTGCCCCGCTTCCCGCTCCCGGGCGCACCTGCAGCGGGGCCGCCGCCGGACACCCCGCCATGCCGGGGGTGGGGGATGTGAGCGGGGGCTCCCTCAGAATGGGGAGAGAACCGAGTAAAACGGGCAATACCGCGGCGTGGGGTGTCCGAGAGAGAGGGATCCCGGCGCCGACCACGACCCGTGCGGGAAGGAGCGCGCCGGGCTGCGGTGCGGTGCGGGGGCGGCTCAGTGCTGTGGAACCCACTCCCCCAACAAAAGAAAGAAAGTGTGTTTTCTGTGAGGAAAAATCACGCGTTTTGGGCAGGCTGTCCGACCTCTCGCTTCTTAATGCAGCCTCAGAGCAGCCTCGGGTCCCACAGCAGCCCCTGAGGCAGGGCGGAGGGGCTCCGGGGGCCTCCGGCTTCCCCCTGTGCACTCTGAGCCCCTGCTCTAACGAAACTTATCTAAACCATCTAACAATAATGTAAATGGGTTTAATTGCCGCGTATTTAAGCCATGAAGCCGGACTGAAAAATCTGTTAAACTTGGCCTGTTCCCAAGCCATTGACACCATCCAGCTTCCCCGCGCCATGGGGGGGAATAGGGGGAAGGGGGTGCCCAGATACGTTTTGATACAGGAGTTTTCAATGTATCAGGTAAAACATCTCCCTGAACCCGGTGCTTTTAATGAACCAGCCGGTTCTTTTTGTTTGCTGCGCGTTTGCAACTTATTCAGGCAAGTTTTAGAAAGTTTGGGGTTTGGGCTTTTTTTTTTTTTTTTAACTTTCTTCGGAGCTGGAGAGTAATGCATGCAAAATATTTAGTTACAACTTATGCGAAAGGCACCGATCTGTAAAAGCATTTTCTACTTTCACAAAGGATTTTCCTGTTACTTTTGTTCCGGTCAGAAAATTAACAAAAAAAAAAAAAGGCTAAAGAAAAAAAAATACACACACACACACACACAAAAAAAAGAAAAAACTGGGGGAGAGATAAGGTCTGGAAAACAATCTGGAATTGCCAGGCTGTTGGTGGGAGCTCTGCGGGGCTGGCGTCAGGAAGTCTGCGCCGCCTTCTATTACTGTTGATCCAGCTTTGTGCAGCTGCACTCAGTACAATTAGCTTGTAGAAACAATCCTGCTGTAGGCAGCCTCTTCCCTTCAAAGTGCTTTTCTATACTGATCCCCTCACATCATGATGCTGGAAATCAAGTCACAAGCCGACCACTGTTTGGCCAACATCATCTGTAGGAATTCATTAACCTCCATCCCAGAGATGCAACAAGAGATTGTTTGTCCAGAACTAAACTTACAGCTTAATATGATGTAGCCCATACAGGAAAAAACCTGTGTCCCCATTTCTTTCTTTTCTTTTTTTTTCTTTTTTTGGTCAATAACAAGAAACACATTGTGCAGCTTTTTTCTTTTTTTTTTTTTTTTTTCTTTTTTTTTTTTTTCTTCAGGGTGTGGGGAACGAAGCTGAAACCAGGCATGAGCTGGCTCCTGCTAAAACTTTGCGATCGAACTGCTTTTTGGTTCATCGGGCTGCAGTTTCCATAGAATCAACTTATCCTCGCGATCATCTTGTTGGGTGCACTTTGCAAGCTCATTTCCCGTCTGAGTTTGCTCCGCTGCTCTCAGATGCTGCAGCTGACACATTTCCTTTCCGTGCACTTTGCACCCACCTCATCCTTGCCCAGATGCTCAGAGCTGATTGTGCCTAAAAGGGGGTTTCATCGCGCTCCGCAGCTGCCTTGGGGGAAGGCAGTTTTTTATCTTGTTTTACGTTTTATTTCCACTTTCCCCTGCTCCAGTGCTCCTCTCCATGTCATGCAGTATACCCTCCTCGTCCCCATGCCCCCAGTGCAGGAGTGCTGGCTGGCAGGGATACAGCTGCGGCCCCAAGCCCTTGGCCATACACCTTTGTGTTCTACCGATGGCTCACAGAGCGCCGGTGCTGGTCCGGGTGGAGTGGATCCAGGGGGGGACACCACTGCTGCGCACCACAGGCCGGGAAGCTGCGTGAGCAGCCCCAGAGCAGACACAGGTGACATCTTCCTGCTACAGGGGCTGCTTGTGAACAATCGTGCTGCTGGGAGCATGAGTCCTGCTTCCTGACACCCCTGGCTGCTTGTGGCTGGGCTCTACACATCCCATTGGCAGCACCGCTCGACAGTAGGGCTGGTGTCACGGCTCCTCATTTCAGGTACCTCATCTGGCTGCAAGCATGCAGCCAAGTGCACCTACCCCACTCTGAACCCCTCTGTTCTTCACAGAACACATGGATGTGTTTTCCGACCCCCTTTTCCAAACTCTGCCCTTTTCTGGGCCATGTTTGCAAATGCCATGGATCTGCCAACTGTAAGATCTTCTGTCCCCCCACTTTGCTTTGGAATAGTGTTGTTTTTTTACAGTATCATTCCCTTCACCCCCACATTTAAACATCCCTCTGCTGCTACTGCTACCTTCCCAAGCTGCATGTTGTTGGAGGCTTGGGAAGTATTGTGGCAAAACACGTATTTTCTCACTTTTTTTTCCACGTCTGGTTCTTGCCAGAAGTGCTGGACTTCAGGATAGGCAGGCCTTTGTTCTGATTCAGTTTTGACATGTGTATCATTTTGTGATTGCACTCCCAAACTACTGTTCTGCAGGAACGCCTTTTACTCAGGCTGCATTTTTTAGCACCACCCTGCAAAGAGGGGTGTTTCTACCTGAATTGTGGGGTTTTGCTGGGACATTTGTATCAAGTCCTTTGTAGGATTTCTTGTTCCTGTAAGTAGGACCAGTGCCCTCAAGGCGTTTCTATGTAAACTGCCATCTGCAAAGGGCTGTTTCTTACCTGATGCTACTTGAAGAAAACTGCCATTAAATCTTTCTGGAAGCAACATCTGTCTCTCTGGCATAGTAACTGTTCCTGGTGTGCGGTGTATTAAATCCATGTATTAACTCGTACATTTTTACTGTAAAGCAGAAACATTTATTTTTTAAGATCTTGAACTATTTTATTCATGCAAGGTCTGTGTTTTAAGTTATATAGCATGTCTTCTAGAAGTGAACCAGTTAGATGGCTCTCTATGTTATGGGATCAAACATTCACTTCTTAGTGCATAGCTTACATAGCAGATGGTTTTCATCTACCGTAGCTTTTCTAGTGATACCTTTTAATTCGTATAGGTCTGAAATGTTGCAAATTTTGCACTCCCTGGCAATTTTTCTGGACAATCTATTTAGAATAGAGCAGGAAGAGAAACCAGGCAGGAAGTTACTGGTGGTACCTCTCGTGCAATAAGGAATAAACCAAGGAATAAAAAATAGGCTGCTGCTTCTTTTTGTGGGTTATCCGGATGGTTGGGCCAGCTCCCCGCAGCCTCTGACTTTGGCCTATCTTTGATTTTTAGGTACAGCACTGTAGGAATGAGATCACAGGATGCTTGGCTTAATTTCCCTGGAAAGAGGAGGGATGGGGAATTGGATTGGTGGGAGGCTTTGAAAATCTGTTCCAGGTATGGTTTTAAACACCCCCCCCCCCTTCAAATTGTAAAATTAGTATAATTTTGAGTATAGATATGTTTGTACAGTGTGCTCTGTGTTCTAGCTCAGTAATAATATTTCATGGACATAAAGAAGAAATGGAGTCTGTAGTGAGACTGTCTTCTGATTGTTGGTGAATCTACAATCTTGGCTTCCTGTTCACTTCAGGTAGATTTCTCTCTGTTATGTATTGGAAAGCCTTGTAGCAGGCAGTGCTGATTTAGTGCTTTACCAAAGCTATTGTTATTGGTTATGTTAGGACAGGACCCACAGCATTTTCAATCCTTTTTCGCTAATATATAGAGGCAAAATTTTCTGTGGTCAGGAGAGCATAATTGCACTCAGGTTTTGGATACTGGAAGTGCAGCTTAGCAAACTATGCACCACGTCTTAAATAGATGTGCACCCTCTCGAGTCCTGCTGAACCACGTGAGTTCCAGTGAAGTTTCTTAGGCTGTTAAAACTTCGCTTTGTTATAGGCCCAGAATGAGCGTTATCTAGGTTAAGCTGACTTTCTTAGTGACTGTCACCTGCACAAACCCACCTGGGAATCACAAAACAGGTATGTGTGTGAATCTCTTGAGAGGCTTGGTCCAGGAGGTATGCTCAGATCATGCTTAAATGCACATTGACAGCATGGAGCTTAGCACAAAGCGCAGCAGCTGTAGCTGTCGGGAAGTTCAGGGAGAGAGAAAGAAAAGAGCTGCTGCTCTTTTATAAGCAATTTTTCTCCTGAGAGCACTTGCCCTGGAAGTGCTCAGATTCAATGTTCTCATCAGAGGTGATATAAACTCCCTTCTGCTTGCAAAGCACCCCTCATGACCAGAGTAGAGATAAGGCTAAGGTGGAGGACACCCACCCATCCTGTTCAAGCTTGCCATGGTAAAGATACAGATGCAAATTTCAAAGGGCCAGAGGGGTTGTAAACAAGAGGGAGCCTGACATTATAGCTTAGAGGTAAAGGCATCTCCTGAATGGCAAGAAGGTTGAATGCTGGGCCGGGCCTGGCCTGGCAGACTCACCCATTCTTGAGGGTGAGGTTTATCTCACCTTATCTCAGCTATTTGGAGGTTTGGTGTCTCTGCAGTCAGTGGGAAGAGAGAAGAGACACCTGCAAAGAGTGATTCATTCTGTGCCTGTTCAACACCTCTTTCTGGATGGAATGAATCTCCTCACTGGGGGCCAGTGTTCTCAGCAGAAGCTAGACAACTAACTTTGACCAGAAGCCTGACTTATAGATGCCAAGTGAGGTGAATTCCTTTGTAGATGACTAATTTTTCTCATTCATCATACCCCAGTTTTAGCCTTTAAAAATTTGGTATGTAATCAAAGCTGGTTAATTGAGTTCTGTCTCTGTACAATGGTCATTCCTCCCATTGGGAGGCTGGAGATGGATAGGTGGGGTGAAATGCCTTGGGATGATGTGTCTCTGAGGCCTGTAGATCCTAAAGGTCATGTGTGCCCCTAGTTCGCACTCATACATCCTTGTGCTGGATGCCTGAAACACTATGGAACTATTGCATGTCGTCATGCAAACTTGTTTTGCAGATGGTCTAAGGGACTATAGAGGCACTGCATACTTTTTTTTAAGAGAGGAGCCAGTTGCATAAAAATCTGCATAAAAAATGTCAGAAGATATAAAGAGGCTACAGCCAGGAACTTCAGAAAGCTGAAAGACTGCTTATTTAAATCAAAGAAAGTTAAGTACTATGGAAAACATTACTAAGTTTATATTGCATTTTATGCACTTGCATACCAGGAAAAATTTGTCTCTGACTTCTAAAACTGGAGATTGGATGCCTTTAAAAGTGTTACCTTTAATCCTAGCCCTGAAGAGATAAACATGTAATTTTCAGTTTCAAAAAGCTATAGTTTTTCAGTTTTGATGATGTGGAGTAATGCTGAGGCACACTATAGGATAAATCCCAAATCCATACATCATTGTTTCAACAGAGATCAGCAAAAGGTCACCCAGGCTTCTTATCAGATTGCAGGAGTGCAAGTGGGTTTTTGTGCTAGTTGAAGTTCAGTGCACATATATTCTTTGCAAACAGATGATTGCAGGAAAAGACAAGCTATGTGTTTTTATGATTTAATATTTGTCAAAGGTCAGCAAAGGGTTATGTGCAGTCATTTTGCAAAATATAGCTTGTAGAGACAGTAGTGGACAGCGAGAGTCCAGTTCGGTGGAATTAAAGTCGTACGTTCTCCTGATGGGTTTTTAGCTACAAATACAGTTGGAGATAATTCCACCACATTGTTCATGTCAATTGCTCCGTAAGGCTGAATGCCTTCGACTATTACAAAACACATGCTTCATGCTTGAGAAACCCTCTACTTCTTTTGTCAAAATACTGAAACTATATGCGCACCCAAGATGTTTAAATTTGGCAACATTAAAGTAATTGGGAATGGACTCAAAATTAAATTACTTAAGGCCTTAAGCTATTGTTTCCAGCAGAGACAAGAGGTCTGAAAACATTAAAAGGATGTGCAGACTTCTTAGAATGTTTTTGGCCAGAACAAAACAGCTGGGCTATACCTAGCTGAGGATCTCAGTTGTTCTCTGTTGAGCAGTCAGAATTTGGACTTCTTGCAGTTTCTTTATTTCCTGTCTTCTCACTCTGCTTTGTTTTTTCACTTCAATAGCAATAGTTTTGTGCTCCTTTCTTTCACAGCTCTACAGGTCTCTTGGCGCTGGAGATGGGATTTACATCACTTGACTTAAGGCATGTGTCTGGTTGATGTCTACATCTAAGCCTGTCTTTCAAGACATAGTTTACAGGCAATTGGGAAAAGAGTTGCTTCTGTAGCGACTTCTTCCTAATACAGAAATCTAAAAGACTCTAGATCTACCCCAGTACTCTCTTGACTTTGGAGTCCAGCTGTCCTTAGCCCAGCTGGCATGTGGTTTAACTAGACACCCTGGTTTTGATGTGGTCTCAAACTTCCCCAAGAGTTCTCCAGTTTTGCTTTTTTTATGTGTGTGTGACTTCACACATTTTAATTAAAAAGCTTGACAGCAGCAAGAAAATGAGTGGTGACTGATAGAGTTTCACCAAGAAGTTGTTCTGGCTGTGGTCTTGTGGAGTGCTGGGGATTTACTGGCCACAAAGTGTAATCTCTAGGCTAGATGGTCATAGCTGTAAGCTCTGTGCCTTTCTGTGACATAGTTCAGCCTGTTGTTAGATATGGTAATCTTTGATTGCAGGACTGCTTATTTGTTTGTGGCATAGATGAGACTTACACAGTGAGGCTGTTTTCTGTGGAAGCCTTGCCTTAGTTACTGTAGAAGGTATGCAAAGGGTTGTGAAAGAGGCAAGACACTCCCATAAACCAGCTGAAGGACTTAATTCAATCCATGCCTCTGCCACAAAGTTTTTTTGTGAGATGATGGACAAGTCATTTAAAGCAGACTTTTGTCAAAAGACTGTTTACCACATGGGAAGTCAATGGGAGTTGTTAAATGTCTAACATGTAATGGAAATGCCAAGCACTCTGAAGGAATGGGTCCCATTTATCACAAGCTTGGCAACCAGAACTAGAGTTATTAACCAGTATATGTTCTGGTCAGCTGTTTCACAAATGATCCCTGGTTTAAAATTAACAGTTTATGATTTAATTTTTTTTCCTTGAAAACGAAATATCTCTTCTGAGAGCAGGACAGACAGGGGGAAATGTCAGTAAATGTGGGAAATGATTCTGCAGTGACAGAAGTTCATTGTAATAAGGGGCATCCTGGTCTCCTTTCCAGAAAGCTTTTCAGGGGCCGTAGATTGCTTTCAGGTACTGCTCTCCGTCTGGGAACAAGCAGGGTAGTGCAGAGCCAGTAAGGTGGCTGTCAGGAACCAGATGGCACTGATGGAGAGGGACAGAAGGCAGATGATGGTGGCTTGGTTTGAGCATGTTAGGGCTGGAGGACCATGGAAACCACCAGTCATAGCTATATGAAGAGTTGGAGCTGGAACAAGGAAGTCTAAGGATTAAAGAGGAACAGGGGAGAGGGAGAATTAAAGTTTCAGATCTCTGTTCATTGCTTTATGTTTCTTTCATTTGAAATGACAAGTTAAAATAAGCCACACCATCCAGAAAGTGAATGCTTCTGAAGAAGTTTCCCGTATTTCTGTCTCCTGTTAGGACAACTTGTGAAGTAAACTCTGCTGATTTTAGCCCCAGCTGGGTAAATTTTGTAGCTTATGGGAGATACAGGTTCAAGACTGAGCCAGTGAGATACTTACAACCCTCACATAAGAGACACTCCAGAAGTGGTCATTTGAGACATTCACCTGGTACAGTGGAAATTCTGAGTTATGGTCTGAACTGGGAAGAATGGAATATGAGGTCTTGATTTTTGACAGGCCTTTTAAACATCA